CTGACACCGTTCATGTCCTCTGGATCATACTTCTTCTCGCTCCTAACCTCCTTTTCCCCTCTCTGCTCGCAATCGGAGGAGGAACGCCATGGCCGCCACACCATGAAGGCACATCAGCCCGGATCCGGCCGGGAACCAGACGAGCCCGCGCCTCCCCCGCCTCGGATCCAGTCGTCCCCGCGCCAAGTCCGCTGCTTCGCCTCCAGCCCTCGTGCACGTGACTCCGCTGCTTCGCCATTGCCTCGTCGTGGTCTTATGGCATGTCCTGCAGCTTGGCGACCTGATCCGTGCCTCTCCTAGCAGGATCTGGCCTCAGGCGACTCCCCAGGCTCCATCCTGTCCCCACGTCCCCGTGGACCCTGCCGGAATCCGCGTAGTGGCCCTTGTCTTCGTCTGCCTGAACCACCGGCGAGTTGTTGCTCTGTCTCTGTCGAGCGGGAGGGACAACGCTCGTGCTCCAGTCGTGCCACCCACCGGCCTTGCAAGGCCCAACATCCAGTTGGCCCAATGTGAGCAGTCTCCCCCAGACCCTCTGTGCTCTGTTGGGCCAACATAAACGACCCATTTCATTTTTTTTTCATATAACGTTTTTTCCTATTTTCCAGAAAACTGTTGTTTTACAGATAGGTCCCTAAAGTTCATGCATTTAATAACTTCACAACCGTGCATCGGATCTAAATAAATTATATATGAAAGTTGCTTAGAATTTTGTCTAGTTTAATAATATGCAACTTTCATCTATGTTTGAAATGTTTAAAATGCTTTTTGTTTAAATTTGCTTAAATAACTTGCTAAAATGTTTAAATTCATAACTAATTAACTGTAGCTCGGTTTTAAATAATCTTTGTATGTAATTGGGGTAGAAAAATGCCTAGTTTAACATGGTGGCTTTACTTTGCATGTTTAATAACTCTAAAATTGTGTTTAGGACAGAACAGTACCAAACCTAATATATGCATATGGGGATTTACCGGAATTGTTGTTCGTTGCTTCCGGCCTCATTTAAACTTGACTAGATAGGTAGTTTTACTTTGCTTCACCCTCTTGCCATGTTTAACAACATTTAATATTGTTGGGACATAACCGAGAGAGAGCTAAATAAGTCATGTGGTGTTTCGTCAATATGCAACTCCGTTGCATAATGAGCTCCACTTAATTTGTAGGATTGTCTGTGCACTTTGCCATGCCATGCTTCTTTAAACCAGACATGCATCATACTTGTTGTGCATCATGCCATGTTGTTGTAGTGGTTGTTGACTATGTTGTGTGCTTCTTTCCGGTGTTGCTTCTTCGGGTTGGTTCCGATAACGTCGCGTTTGTGAGGAACCGTTTGACTACGTCCGTTTGTCTTGTTCGTGGACTCGTTCTTCTTCCTTGCGGGATCTCAGGCAAGATGACCATACCCTCGAAATCACTTCTATCTTTGCTTGCTAGTTGCTCGCTCTTTTGCTATGCCTATGCTGCGATACCTACCACTTGCTTATCATGCCTCCCATATTGATAAGTCAAGCCTCTAACCCACCATGTCCTAGCAAACCGTTGTTTGGCTATGTTACCGCTTTGCTCAGCCCCTCTTATAGCGTTGTTAGTTGCAGGTGAAGATTGGAGTTTGTTCCATGTTGGAACATGGTTATTGTTGGGATATCACAATATCTCTTATTTAATTAATGCATCTATATACTTGGTAAAGGGTGGAAGGCTCGACCTTATGCCTGGTGTTTTGTTCCACTCTTGCCGCCCTAGTTTCCGTCATATCGGTGTTATGTTCCCGGATTTTGCGTTCCTTACGCGGTTGGGTTATAATGGGAACCCCTTGACAGTTCGCTTTGAATAAAACTCCTCCAGCAAGGCCCAACCTTGGTTTTACCATTCGCCACCTAGCCTTTTCCCTTGGGAGTCCCACATCCCGAGGGTCATCTTTATTTTAACCCCCCAGGCCAGTGCTTGTCTAAGTGTTGGTCCGAACTAGAGCCACTTGCGGCGCCACGTCGGGGAAACTTGAGGGTAGGTTTTAGCTGTACGTAGTGTTCATCCGGTGTTGTCTTGAGAACGAGATATGTGCAGCTCCTATCAGGATGTCGGCGCATCGGGCGGTCTTGCTGGACTTGTTTTACCATTGTCGAGGATGTCTTGTAACCGGGATTCCGAGCCTGATCGGGTCTTCCCGCTAGAAGGAATATCCTTCGTTGACCGTGAGAGCTTGTGATGGGCTAAGTTGGGACACCCCTGCAGGGATTTGAACTTTTGAAAGCCGTGCCCGTGGTTATGGGCAGATGGGAATTTGTTAATGTCCGGTTGTAGAAAACCTGAAGTTTATCTTAATTAAAATACATCAACTGCATGTGTTGCCGTGATGGTCTCTTTCCGGCGGAGTCCGGGAAGTGAACACGGTGTTGGAGTTATGCTTGATCATAGGTTGTTCTAGGATCACTTCTTGATCATAGTTGTTCGACCGTGCTTTTGCCTCCTCTTCTCGCTCTCATTTGCGTATGTTAGCCACCATATATGCTAGTCGCTTGATCGCGAGGGTGTGAGATTGCTGAGTCTCCATGACTCACAAATACTTCCAAAACCAGTTTGCAGGTGCCGATGATATCGTGCAGGTGACGCAACCGAGCTCAAGGAGGAGCTCGATGAAGATTGTGTTCGTTATGTTGTTCCATTTCCAGTTGATCAGTAGTGGAGCCCAGTTGGGACGATCGGGGATCTGTGTAGCTTTCGGGGTAGTCTTCTTTTATTTTGGTTCCGTAGTCGGACCTTGTGTGAAACTGGATGATGTAATGCTTTATTCATGTAATTGTGTGAAGTGGCGATTGTAAGCCAACTATGTATCTCCTTCCCTTATGTATTACATGGGTTGTGTGAAGATTACCTCACTTGCTACATTGCTTTCAATGCGATTATGCCTCTAAGTCGTGCTTTGACACGTGGGAGATATAGCCGCATCGAGGGCGTTACATTCCCAAATCAAGTGTTTCATCCTTTTCTTTCCATAGTCTCACCTCTCTCAATTATATCATCTCGAAGATCCATCTAAATCATTGCAAAGGCTTCACCTTGTGTTTTCAACTTCTCCTTCTTTTTATCATCTTTTTATTACCGGAGTTCTTCATGGAGGTTCTACATGGTGGTTCGTCAAGGATTCATTCCATTCTTCGATTGTTCTTCAAGATTTCTCTCAGAGTTATGATCCGCCAAGCTATACTCAAAATATAAACAAGGTGCTCAACACATGTTTAGTTTCGAGGAGATCAAGTATTCTTCATCTTTCATTCCAAAGTGCAATTCTTTCTACCTTATCTTTTGAGGTGGTGTTATGTCATTCTTGACAATTTCCTTTCCTGTTTCATGATTCACAAGTTGTTAAGAATGAGATACTTAAACCCATCTTTTTCTCTTCCTTCAGGAGATCCTTTGCAACCCATCAATCTCGTCATTGGAGTTATCTTGGGTTAGATTACACCTCAAGCCTTCCCTAAGGATTGTTGCTATTTATGGTGCTTATAAATGACCCAAGTTCTTCATTTATCCTCCCGGTGAAATTAGTTTCTCGTCTCCTTGTTGATATCAATCCAATCTTTTGTCTCCATAGTGGCAGGATTTCACCTCAAGTTTTGGGATGTTTTCAATAAGCCCACAACAAGTTTATTCTTTTTATTGTTCATTTCCCAACAACTCCGTCCAATCCTCTATGGAAGGATGCTTTCAAATTCATTCGAGGTAGAAGATGTTGTTTTCTTCTTCGTTACTTTCAGTCCGTTCTATCTTTTGTTCCGGAGGCATTGTGATGTTCCACGCGTTGACCCATTATCCCATTTTTGGCAAAGATCATGTTATTTCCTTTGCTTATCCATTCAACTGGAGTGTCGTGTCCTCTATTCAAGTGCTTTCATTTTTCCAAGTTCATATTCTATGCCTTCCATTTCCAACCGGAGTGTTGTCATAATTGATCTTTATCATTCCTTGTACATCTCGTTTCTATCGGAGTGCTTGCATGTACCTCTTGTCCATCATAACCCTTTTCTTATGTCTTTCAACCTACAAGGTTCTCGTAATATTCCTTGTTCCTCTTTTTCTAACAGAGTGTTTTCAACTTTGTTCATCTTTGTTGTATTCTTTCTTTCAATTTGTTCAACCTCTCAAGGTTCATGGTTTCACTCATTTGTCAAAGAAGCAACTTAGTTTTACCTCTTCTCTTCCTCTTCCGTTTCCCTCCGGTGCCATCCTAGATCTCGGGACGAGATCCTCTTGTAGTGATGGAGTGTTGTAACGCCCCGAGACCATTGCACCAGGTGTCTTCCAGCTATTCGCTATCTTTGCCATGTCATTTGTTTTGCTTGTTGCATTCATCATTGCATATTTTGCATTGCATCATGTCATCATGCCATCATGTGATTAATCTTTGCAACTCAAATAAATAAATTGTATGGATCTTCGGTCCATTTAAATCGAGGGATATTCACATTGGTGATTTCTCTTTAAAACATACACTCCCAATATTATTAGGGATCTATTCTAAATATTCCAATAATTTGGAATTAACCATAAAACACGCGCAAAAATAATCCCATGCCTTTTCTGCTTTGAGTTGATCTCCAAACCTTGCCGAAAATTCTTTCTTCATTTATTGAGGCTCCTCCAAAAGTCTCAACATTTTTGGACCTTCCCAAACCTCACTTCCTATTCAAATCATTTGAATTTAAATCAAATGAGTTTGAATTTAATCTTTCATTCATGCCCACTCCTAATTTTCTTGGATCAAGCTCCTTTTTATGAGTCCAACAAAATTGGCGTCCTGCTCAAATTCTTCTCCTATCCCTCTCTACTTTCTTTACTCGTTGTTTATTTGTTAAACAGGGAGAATAGTCTAGGGGAGAGTAAGAGAGAGTGTGCAGGGCTTCATCCCAGTCGCAGCCCACCACTTGAGGCCATCCATCCTCAGGCAGCCAGGCCGGCCCTTTTGCACCGAGGCCCAGCAGGCCCATCCATCCCTCCTAACCCTAGGCCGACCTCTTCTCTCGATCCCTCTCCCTCTCCTCCACCTCGTGCCGCCAGAGCAGCCATCTCCTCGATATCCCCTTCCCCTCGTTCCACCTAGCGTCACCACCTCCTCCCTCTGCTGCCCGGACCCCACGCCGACCCCTCCTTCCTCGCGCCTCTCTCTTCTGCACCGCGTCACAAGATCGCCGCCTCCACTTCGCCGCCTCCTTCCCGACTCCCACCTCTCCGCCTCCGAGCTGGCCGATGCGCCCCGCCACTGCTTGAGTCCGAGGGCCCCGCCTCTGTCTCCGGCCGTCGTCAGCAAGCAGCCCCGCCGGAGCACTTCTTCTCCCGTGCACCATCGTCGACCAAGTCGAGCAGCACCAGCAAACCCCACGAGCACCTACACCCCAATTCTGTCGCCACCTCGCCGGAGTGCCTACCTCCCCGACGTCGGCCATCCTCCTGCCGCTCCTGCTACCCGTATCTTCTCCGCACCGCACGGCCCTCTACATCAGTGGCTTCGCTTCCTCTGCTCATCGCCTGCACACTCGACGTCACGCCGTCTCCTGGTGCCGGCCCCGCCGCCAAGTCCCGTCGCCGATGCTCGCCTTCGTCCCGACTCCGTCCGGATCAGCCCTTGTCGTGCCCAGCCAGATCCGCCATCCTTTCACTCGGATACACAGCTGCCGCTCATCCTTCGCGCCATGGCCTCTATCTCCTTTGGGTGACCCGTTGCTGCCGTGCCCAACTTCTGCCGTGCCCTGTTGTGCGTGCTCTCCGCTGCCTGGCACTGTTGACGTCAAGACCGTGGGTGCCAAGTTCCTCTTCCAGAGTCATCAAAGTGCATGAGGACCTCGATGTACGACTACACAATGACGCGCCAAGTTCCCCTCACCAAGTTCCACCATGATATGTACCATTACCATCAAAGTGTCAAGTTCCTCTACCGATGACTCGAACCGCTACAAAACGTGTACCACTACCGTCGACCCACGAAGACCCCGTGGACGTCAAGTCTAGTGTCGTGACCCCGAACATCTACAGACATAAACAACTACTTCCTCTACAAACCGAACCGCTCCGAGAATGCAACCTTGTAAGTTATAACCGCCGGAACGACGCCCGTGGACGAATGCTTGTGATGTGTTGTATGAGATGCCCGTGTTTGCAACATGCCCGAATTGATCCTTGCACGTTCCTGGTTTCCTTGCCACCGTCATGTGGGACACCCGGTTACTGCGAGCACCCCACCGTTTATCATGACACACTCCCGTCACACTTTCTTTTGCACCAGCATCTCAATCGGGTTACCGGAACCGATATGTTTTCATGGCATCATTCTTGGATTCGTCACCGTGGCACATTTTCTTTCCACCACGGTGACAAATGCCTCGCATCTTATTATGCCAACATTTTCATAAAACTTTCACATGTCATCCGCATCATGATAATAACATTTAAAATGTTTAAAACTGTTGTTGCATCAAATTGCTAAATGCATATGGGGATTTACCAGAATTGTTGTTTGTTATTTCCGGCCTCACTTAAAATTGCATAAAATGTGTAGTTTACTTATGCTTCACCTCTTGCCATGTTAACCAACATTTAATCTTGTCTTGTTCACAAACAAGAGCGAACTAAATAATTGAATGTGGTGTTTCATCAATATGCAACTCGTTGCATAGTGAGCTCCACTTAACTTGTAGTATTGTTTGTTGCACTTTGCCATGCCATGCCTCATTAAACCGGACATGCATCATACTTTTTTGTGCATCATGCAATGTTTATGTGATGGGTGTTTACTATGTTGTTTGCTTATTTCCAGTTGTTCTTCTCCTTGCTAGTTCCGGTAACGTGCGTTTGTGAGGATCCGTTCGACTACGTCTGTTTGTCATCTTCATGGACTCGTTCTCTTCCTAGCGGGATCTCAGGCAAGATGACCATACCCCCGATATCACTTCTATCTTTGCTTGCTAGTTGTTCGCTCTATCGCTATGTCGCGCTACCTACCACTTGCTTATCATGCCTCCCATATTGCCATGTCAAGCCTCTAACCCACCTTCCTACCAAACCGTTGTTTGGCTATGTTGCCGCTTTTCCTCAGCCCCTCTTATAGCGTTGCTAGTTGCAGGTGAAGTTGAAGTTTGTTCCATGTTGGAACATGGATATTGTTGGGATATCATTATTATCTCTTATTTACTTTAATGCATCTATATACTTGGTAAAGGGTGGAAGGCTCGGCCTTTTGCCTAGTGTTTTGTTCCACTCTTGCCGCCCTAGTTTCCGTCATATCGGTGTTATGTTCCTTGATTGTGTGTTCCTTACGCGGTTGGGGATTTATGGGACCCCCTTGATAGTTCGCTTTGAATAAAAACTCCTCCAGCAAGGCCCAACCTTGGTTTTACCATTTGCCTACCTACCACCTATACCTTTCCCTTGGGTTCTGCAGACTCAAGGGTCATCTTTATTTTAAACCCCCCGGGCTAGTGCTCCTCTGAGTGTTGGTCCGAACTAGAGTCCTTTGCAGCGCCACCTCGGGGAAACTGGAGGGCTGGTTTTAGTTGTACGGAGTGCTCATCTGGTGTGCCCTGAGAACGAGATATGTGCGACTCCTATCGGGATTTGTCGGCACATCGGGCGGCTTTACTGGTCTTGTTTTACCATTGTCGAAATGTCTTGTAACCGGGATTCCGAGACTGATCGGGTCTTTCCGGGAGAAGGAATATCCTTCGTTGACCGTGAGAGCTTGTGATGGGCTAAATTGGGAAACCCCTGCAGGGTATAAACTTTCGAGAGTTGTGCCCGCCGTTATGTGGTAGATAGGAATTTGTTAATATCTGGTTGTAGAGAACTTGATACTTAACTTAATTAAAATGAACCAACCGCGTGCGTAGCCGTGATGGTCTCTTTTCGGCGGAGTCCGGGAAGTGAACACGGTCTTATGTTATGCTTGAACGTAAGTAGTTTCAGGATCACTTCTTGATCACTTATATCTTTTCGACCACTGCGTAGCTTCTCACCTTACTCTTATTTGCGTATGTTAGCCACCATACTTGCTTAGTGCTTGCTGCAGCTCCACCTCACTACCTCATCCTACCCATAAGCTTAAATAGTCTTGATCTCACGGGTGTGAGATTGCTGAGTCCTCGTGACTCACGAATACTTCCAAACAGTTGCAGGTGCCGATGATACCAGTGCAGGTGACACAACCGAGCTCAAGTGGGAGCTCGATGAAGATCTTGTTCATTGTCTTGTGTCTTTTCCGGTTGATTAGCAATGGTGCCCAGTTGGGACGATCGGGGATCTACCATTTGGGATTGTCTTCTTTTATTTTGGTTCCGTAGTCGGACCTTGATTGTACTCTAGATGATGTATGTTTAACTTGTTATTTGTGTGAAGTGGCGATTGTAAGCCAACTCTTTATCCCTTTCTTATTCAGTACATGGGATTGTGTGAAGATTACCCCTCTTGCGACAAAACCACTATGCGGTTATGCCTCTAAGTCGTGCCTCGACACGTGGGAGATATAGCCGCATCGTGGGCGTTACCGAGGCGAGCTGCCTTCGTCCTCCTCTCGTACTCATTCGCCTCCTCCCTGGTTATAACATATCTCCTTTTTTCCTGAAAGTCAAAGAAAGTAGAAGCAGGGAGGGCAACATGGACAATGCGCCGTCTGTCAAAGATTAGTCGGTACTAGAGGAATTGTTCATCCCTCTCAACAAATTGATGGTGAACCATGGCATTATAATCTAGGTAAGCAGGAGGTAACTCTATATCATTTCCATGTATGGGTATATTAAGATAATTAGCTACACGAGTTGCATAAATTCCACCAAACAAATATGCACTTATACTGTTGTGATGCAACCTTCGTGCAACAATGGCCCCCAATTTATATTGTTTATCACATAATACGGCACTCTTGAGGACACTAAGATCTGGAGCGCACATGTGACAAGCCTCATCTTTATCATTAATGCATCTGCCAATGAAGATAGCAAAATAATGTATGTAAGGGAAATGAATGCTCCCTATGGTAGCTTGTGTGATTTCCCTAGATTCCCCCACGGTAATACTAGCAAGAAAGTCTTTATATTCAGATTTGTGAGGTTCACTAACGTTGCCCCACTGCGGGAGTTTACAAGCAATATTAAAATCTTCTAGGTCCATGGTATATGATTTATCATAAAGATCAAATGAAACAGTGTGAGAATTGCGCGAGGATCTAAATTTAAACCTTCTCACAAAGGAATCAGTTAGATAGCGGTATTGTCGGCACTTATCTGCCACGAAGTCCTCAAGATCAACATTATGCATATATGTGTTAAATTCATCCTTGATGCCTGCCTAGACCATAAAGTCCTCTGATGGCCATTCACAAGGCCACACTTGAGCTTTCCTCGGTCGTTCATCGTCCAGCTCATGTATCGCGAGCCTCGGTTCTTGCTTCCTTGAGGAACCACCTTGGTACAGTTTCCCAAACATTTTTCTTCCTCTGGAAAATTTCTGAAATTTGTAGTGACTCAAAATAAAAGTGAACCAAACTCAACAAGATTGATAGCAGCTACTCCTACAAGTGCCTAGAGGCCATATCATGCATTAAAACTACTTTTGACCACATAAATTTGACATGCAAGCTCAAGAACAGGGTCACCTAAGCAGCAAAAAATTGCAATAAATAAAGCACTAGAACAAAAAATAATTGGACCATTGGAGGAGTCACATACCGAAGAACAATCCCCCAAAGCAGTTTTGTGAATGGAGCTTTGAGCTAGGAGATCGAAAATGGCAGCAAGATGAGCTAGAACTCGGGTTTGAGCGATGGGATGATTTTTTTCTGGAGGAAGACGAAGTGTGTGGGTGCTGGAATAATTGGAGGGGGGCCACGTGGGGTCCACAAGGCAGGGGGCGCGCCCTGGACCCTCGTGGCCAGGTGGTGTGGCCCTCTGGTGTGTTCTCAGTGCCAATAATTCTTAAATATTCTACCAAAAATCATATTTCATTTTTAGGACATTTGGAGAACTTCTATTTTCAGGGTATTTTTTATTGCAAGGATAATTCAGAAAACAGACAAAAATACTATTTTTGCTTTATTTAATCTAAATAAGAGAAAGTAAAAGGAGGGTACAGAGGGTTGCGCTTTCTCACTTCATACATCTCATGCTCATCAAAAGGAATCCACTAACAAGGTTGATCAAGTCTTGTCAACAAACTCTTTCTGAATAACATGAAATTGGAGAATTTTCAAATAACACTAAGTTACCTCAACGGGGATATGCATGTCCCCAACAATAAGAATATCATATTTCATCTTGACAGTAGGAAGAGGGAATTCAAAACCTTCAATAGTAATCGTTCAAATTTTTCCAATAGAATTGATATTGTTGACTTGAGGTTGTTTCCTCAGAAAGTGTACTATGCTCATTACCACTAACATGAAAAGTGACATTGCCTTTGT